AAAAAAAAAAAAAAAAAAAAAAAAAAAAAAAAAAAAAAAAAAAAAAAAAAAAAAAAAAAAAAAAGAGGAAGGGAAATATGGGAGAAAGGAAAAGCAAAAGGGAGAAACAAGCAAAGGGGACAAAGGAAGTATTTGGAATTTGCTTGTTGTAAGAATTTAAAGAAAAAATTTAAAGCTGAATTTGTTTGTTGTAAGAATTTAAAGAAAAAAATCATGGGGGTAAAAAAAGCACTTCAAATCGTGCCTGGAACATATTATTCAATGATTAATAACTCTTCTCCATTGAAAATATCTCTAACCCAGAAGATTTAAGCAAACCAAAAATCTAGGAGAGCAATCTCCTACTCTAAGCAAAATTGATTCCACAGGAGTTGAAGAAATGTAGTTCACACAGGCATTTCACATCTACGTCAAAGTCCTCTGCCTCATAGCCTCTCTCAGCCCAAACATCACATTTTCAATAAAAGCAGAAAAACTATTTCTTTCCAATTTTCCCTATTGTTCTCTTTTTCTAAGTTGGCTGCAAACTTTCTCCTAATGGCCCAGGAACAGCTGAGCAGCAGCTGGAAAGGCCATGGGAATCTGCAATGGGCAAATGAAAGTCAGAATAAAGAAGGATACAACAGGATTCTGGCAACTCTGTCCCAGAGTAGTGGAACTGACCTTAGACAAGGCACTTGCTAGTCTTGTCTGAGATACCTCAGACTGCCAGCATTGGAAGCCTAGCTTTGTCACTTACCTGCTGTATAACTTTCATAAGTTACATAGCTGCTCTGTTCCTCAGTTCCCTCAACTGTGAAACATTAACAATAACCCCCTCATAGGATTATTATAAGGATTAAATAAAGTCATTGTCAAGAACTTAAATAGTCACTGGCAGAGTAAGCACAATAAATTTTACCTATAATTATTTATTGTGTGTGTTTGTGTATATATGTGTAAATGTCATTAGCTGATGAAGATCTCTTGTGGCATGAACAAACCATGGTTTAATCAGTTAAACACTCTGGGGTTTGAATTCTGTCTGAGAATGCTTGTCTTCTTGAATTTCCTATTTCCTTCTTTTTAAAAAAGAAAAAAAAAAAAGGTAAAACAGCACTATTGTGAAGGGAGAATGGCAAACAAAGTTACTAAATTCTGCAAGAAAATTTTTGATCCCTGAAATCCTGAAAGACCCTTGGAACTTCACTCTGATGCAATCTTTGTCAGATGGAACTTGACTGAACAAGAAAGACTGACAGAAAAGCTAGGAGAAGACATGAGGGATACTTGTGGGAAACAGGTCTAAGAAAGGTTGGGTAAAAGAGACAATTCTGGAAAAACTGGAAAGGATTCAGAAAAATAGGACTAGGATCACTAACGTTAAATCATGTCCCATGTGCCAGGCATTATTTCAAGTGCTTTGTATGCATTAAGTTCATTTAATATTTTCATCCACCTTAGAAAATAGGTGCGTTATCATCCCCATTTTAAACATATGAAAACCAAGGCAGAGGGAGGTAATATAGTTTGTCCAACCGATCACAACTTTCAAAGGAGCTCTTCATTTAAAGGCTCAAGAAAATGGAAAATGTGGGGTTCGTTTAGACTTGGAAAGGGGAGTAATGAGGGTAAGGATGGGATGTGAGTTCATATCAAGAATTTATGATGATGTTTTTGAGGTTTTAAATTCCAAAAGTTTTTGTATAATTTTAGAAAACATTTCCTAAACTCTGATCTCTCTTTAATCTACCCCAACAAAGAAATAATCAGACTGTACTAGAAAATAAGTCATAAAAAGATATGCATCAATAAATTCTTTTGTTTGGGTGAAAAACAGTCCCAAGCTTGAGAGTATGTAGCTTTTCTGTCATAGTTGTAATATTTTTTTTTTTTGTAACTCAACCCTGTCTCTTTCCTCCAACTTGCCCTAATAACAAATATACTTCTAGCTGTAACTTAAAAAGGACATTAAAATAGTAATAGAAAAATAACACAAGAGTTTAGGGGCTGGTAATTGAAGATAATTCCTCCAACACTATAAACTCCTTGCTTACTTGGTTTATAACTAGGGAACTTATTATAGTTAATAACCATCATTTTTTTTTTAACTCCTCTTGTAAGTGCAAATTCAATCCAATTCTTCACTGGGACAGAGTAAAAAAAAAAAAATGCAAAGGCATTTGAAAAAGTTCACCCATTTAGATTTAATTACATACATAACTGGTGTCCTCCCAAGTGTGAAAATGCTATAACCAATAAATCAAACAATAAAATTTATCTGAGCAGAATAGATTTATATAGAAGATGCATGAGAAATCAAAACTCACTGACTTGTTTTGGGTATTTTTACTCAGAAAAGTTCTTAAATACAGAGCAAAATGCCTGCTCTTTGACTCTTGCCTTCTTTTGGACACTTAGGTCAGTCATTTTCCCTAGAGGGGAGTTTTTGCACAGTGACTTTGAAGTGAACAGGTTTCAATCTCAAAATCGTCTCTGTGTGTTAAGGGATCATTAGATCTGTGCTTGCATGTTAGATTTTAAGGATGTTGGATTTTAAGGACCATCTCATTTGTCTAGTACTGCTTCTTACATGCTTAATTAGTGACTACTAAGTGAAGCTTAATTCAGCAGGAAAATTATTTACATTATAGCTTCCTTGAAATACACACACAAGGAAGACTTTGCAAACTTCTGCAAAGCCAAAGGAGTGGGGAGACAGGGACATTCAGACTACCTAAATACCTTCCTAGGTAGTATCATTAAAAAAACCCACAAAATTCCCATTAGTAATAGTAATAGAATAAGCATTGCTAACAATTTTGAGCTTCATGAAGTGTATTTTTAAATGTACCTACTTTGAATTGAAATTTCTTGGGAGTGACAAACTTGGAATAAGAAAATGAGGGAGACAGGACGATTGCAATTTTTTGGGCATACCTTACCAGATGTAAATTGTTTGAGGGTATGGATTCACATGTTACTATTTGTAGTAAAATTAAATGGAAAAATCTTTCCCCTTTAATAAAACCTCGTGATAACAATACCTTAAAATACACTTCACAGCTGCTGGTCAACCATGTTTAAAGGCACAATTGGATCTCTGCTGACACTTTGCTGAGGAAAAGAGCCAATCAGCTGAACAACTTCCTTATTCATTGTGCTTTATGAAAATGAAAATGCAAAAGACCTTAGGATTTCAAAACCATCCACGGTTACAAGGAAGGAAATAAATGTATAACAGCAGGGGCTTTCACTTTATCATTAAATTATAATGCTTTATTTTTCTGTTGGCTAATTCAGACAGCAAAATGGCTCTCCCTTGAGTTGCCACAGTTAATTTCTTACCATACTTTCTGCATCACGTCATAAAGATAACTTTAAGTAATTTTGGTTAGACCGTGTTTTATTTGTTTGTTTGTTTTGGAGTTCTAGGATCTGACAGGAAAGCAGTGTGAAACAGACAAAGTTCAGAGTTACTCTCAGAGTGACTAAAGCAGGATCCATTTCCTAGTTCCCCCTAGCTGCAGATTTTAAAGTCTGGATCTAGCTCCTGCTCTTGTTTCTCTAAATATTTATCAGTTAACAATTACACATCTGCTCCAATGGCAACAAACGTGGCTGAAGGAATAATGCTTTTCTCCCCGCCAAATATGCAAAATAATGCAAGTCCATCTGAAGTTTTTTGAATCAATTATCAGACTCATGTCTCCCTATTTTAACACCCATTTTATTAAACATATCAGAAAGTGACGTCAGTATGCTCTCTTTCTCCTTGCTTGCTTTCTATTGTTTCCCACTCGTTTGGTTCTTTCCAGTAAGTTTCTCTAGTGAGTATTTTGCTCTCTTATCATACATGCCGGCTATACTGAAGTTAATAGAACTGCTTAGTAAAGTCCTCCGAATCCTGGTATAAGAGTCCTTTCACACAGAAGAGAATTCCTTTCACTTGGAAATATTTTAAGAAATAAATTTTTGAAGTATGGTCTGATATGATTTAGATCATATTTGATCAGGGCACTAAACCAAAACCTGCATTTTGCATGCCTTTTATTTTTATATTTGCAAAGGGCTCTTTACACAAGTTTACTTGACCTTTTAGGCTTTAAATAAATGTAGCTTTTGCAAACCTGAGTCAAAGCAGGAAATGTAAGTTGTACTCACCTTAGTATATTGAATCTTCAAATCGGTGAGTAGCGCAGGTAGGTCTGGCACACTGGAGGATGACATTTCTGATGCGGCTCCTGGAACACAGGTGACTGGCTCAGCAATTAGGTTCTGATAGAGCACTTGGCTTTATTTGTTCCTTTTTATCCGCACGGGCTAAAGTTTATTTGCATACTCGGATACGATTGGATGAACAAACTCAGAGGAAAAAAAGAAAACGACACTACTTATTTGTAACACCTAGGGCAGGAAGCCTTTGACTTTAAACTTAAATCCTTAAGAAACCAGTGTTACAGCATCGAAGTTGCATCTGGAGACAGTGTACTATTTGCAGATGAATTAATTTACAAAGCCGAAACCTGTGATAAGGGTATGCAGCAGCTGCTCTGGCCACTGAGGCCAGTTATTATTTTTTTGACTTTTTATGCTTTTTAATGCTACTATGTAACTTTCTGTTCTCTGACAGATTTGGAATCAGAGAATTTGAGGATTGAAAAGAGTTTAAAAGGGCACCTGTTCTCAGTAGAAGCTGGTGAGGAGAGAATCCTGGCCAGGTGTCTTCAGTAAAAGGCTTTCAGGAAATCAGTCCATCTCCCAGAAAATCAGGGTGCTATTTGGGGAAGAAAGGCCTTCTATCTACACCATACACTAAGTTAGTTTTAAAATATCACGTTTATTTTCAGTGCTGGGTAAGTAGACCTACTATGATTTCAGATGCCCTAAATTATTTTCTATATGTGAACAGAAAAGCCAGCAGGACTTTTAGGGAATTCGGAACACACTGTCACACACAATCACCACAATTAGAAATATGGCAATATCATCTATTAAAACTCATTTAAAATGAAAGTAACCCTGGTTTTGGAAGTTGTCTGTATTTATGAATATAGGCAATGTACAAAGTATAAATTTAAGCAGGGCTTCAAAATAATTCAAGTTCTTAAATTCATGTTTAGCTGAAGGACAATCTGTTAAACAGTGTTACTCCCATTTTAAGTACAATACTTTATTGTGTTGTAGCTCTAGCAAACGTTACAATAGGAACAAGATAGAATACTTTGGATACTCTGATTGTGAAGAATTAACTGATACATTTTCCTAATGAAACTTGCCAGTTCCCTTGAATATGGGACTCACAAATGCGACTTACTGAAAATTTCTAAAAAGTTTGCCCAAATCAGGTGCATCACTTCTTTCCCTTTCTACCCTCATTTGATATCTCTAGAGACACAGAGAGGGTGAATAGCTTGCTTATGGTCACAGATCTATTAGTGCAAGACCAGAATGTCATTTCAGGCCAGTCTGACTCCCAAACCTGGACTCTTATTTCTGTTCATTATTTTTGCCCTCTATCCACAAGAGAACTCCTATATGGGATCAAGAGTCAACTGGTTTGGTTTTCTCAGTGAATAGTCACCCTTATAGGCATTTAAGCCTAAGTTTTTACTCATCTAAGATAAGGGTTGGCAAACTTTTTCTGTAAATATTTTCAGCCTCTGGGCTGGATGGTTTGTGATATAATTTACTTGATTCTGCTTAAAAGAAACTGTAGACAGTAGGTAAATTAATGGGTGTAGTTGTTTTCCTATAGAACTTTACAAAAACAGAAGGCCGGCTAGATTTGGTGCACGGGGCCAACTCCCTAGATTCTAAGGCAGTATCATTCCCAATGCCTTTGACTCCTCTGTGTCTCATGCTTGAAGACCAGATAGAAAATTCTGTGTTCTTTCAACATTTCTCTATTTCTTTCTTTTTGGAAAATCTAATTGTTTTCTCTCTCAAAAATGTGTTTTGAGTTAAATGCACAATTACACAACAGCTGTTACATAACTTGAGTGTGGTGCTCCAGCCATGCCCAAACAGCTGTGTTTTGCTGCTTCCTTCTCCCAGAGTCACAGTTGTTTGTGGATTCAAATACTTATTTATTTGATGTCCAGGCGTTGAAAGCTCAAGGCTTCATAACACACTTGGCTTGTCATCTCATTTCTTATATGATCATTTTCAAATGTATTTTACTGGATAATTATGTAAGAACAATCCCTTTATTCCAGGCATTACTGAATGCAGGCAAAAGGAGTTGCTTTGGAGACAGGTTACCACACCTGCCCATTTAATTTCAGCAAATATTTACTAAGTATCATTTATGCATCTGTAATTCTTCAGCCCTCACCTCACTTGAGCAGATCTTTTCTGCCTAGAAACCACAGGGCCTGAGACTTATATTTTTGAGGTAAGCATCATCCTGCCCCAAGAGCTTATTTTGTAGGATAGCATATTTCTGGGAGTGGCTGCGTATGAGTAAAATATTTCATTAGACTTCTATCCCTTACAGAGGAAAAATGGCTTTAGTGAGAACCTAGGGGCCACGGTTGCACATTTTAGGGCTGGACCCAGAGTTGTACATTTTTATTATATGCCAGGACTCTGCAGCAGAGGAGAAGCTGGTCCTCTAACTTGAGGGTAATAGACAAAGGATGTTCAGTCTTCTTTTTCCTTCTTAGGAACAAACAAAATCACACACACACAAACACACACGGCACACACACATGAACACAGAGAGAGAAACAAGAAATATAAGAGGATAGTTTATTTATCACTTGAATGTGACTTCTCTAGCCCTTTGTGAAAGCTTTAATTATACCAACAAACATATAGATTATGACTTCAACCATTCTTGAAACTACTCTCTCATTTTACAACAAACATCTCCATAACTTCATCTAATCCTCAGTTCCTGAAAAGATAAAAGGAGCCTAATCTGCCACCCACATGAGTGCTTGAAATAAAAAAAAAAAATTGTTGAAAAAGTCATATGATGAATTAAAATAGCTTCTGCAATGGACTGAATGTTTTTGTCCAGTCACAATGCATATGTTGAAATCCTAACCCCCAATGTGATGGTATTAGGAAATAAGGCCTTTGGGAGGTATATTAGTCAATTATCATGCTGTTAATAAAGACATGCCTGAGACTGGGTAATTCATAAAGGAAAGAGGTTTAATTGACTCACAGCTAAGGCTGGGGAGGCCTCAGAAAACTTATAATCATGGCAGAAGGGGAAGCAAACACATCCTTCTTCACATGACAGCCGCAAGGAGAAGTGCTCAGCAAAAGTGGGGAAAAGCCCCTTATTAAACCATCAGATCTTATAAAAAGACTATCATGACAACAGCATGAGGGCAAGCCTCCTGTCATGATTAAATTACCTCCCAGCAGGTCCCTCCCATGACATGTGGGGATAATGGGAACTACAATTCAGGTGGAGATTTGGGTGGGGACACAGAACCAAACCATATTAGGAGGTAATGAGATTATGAAGGTAGGACCCTCATGAATGGTATCAGTGCTTTTATAAAAGGGACTCCAGAGAGATCTCTCGCTGTTGTTGCCAAGTGAGGATGCAATGAGAAGCTGGCAATCTGCAACCCAGGAGAGGGCTCTTACCAGAACCCAACCATGCTGCCACCCTCATTTCAGACTTCAAGCTTCCAGAACTGTGAGAAATTAATGGCTGTTGCTTATATATCACCTAGTCTATAGTATTTTTGTTATAGCAGCCTGAATGAACTAAGACTGCTTCTTTTCCTAATTCCTGATTTCAAAATCCTGGAACCATTTATTGAAGGTGAATCTCTCCTACTCCAGTTATATGAATACTCCCCTAACTATTCTCTGTTGCCTTAGCATGTCTGCATGTGTCTCTGCCTGTTGATCGACCTAGCAAGCAAACTATCCCTATGATTTTGATTAGTACATTTTTAGCAGATATCACATTGCTTTTATGCTTATTTGAGTTTTCATAATTTGGGAAAAGTGAATCTTGTACGTAGTGAGAGTGTTTGTGCTTAGTTGGCAAGTCGATGTTAAAAATGGAAGTGGAAGGCAGAATTTAAGTATATGAACATACGTATTTGTCAGCTAATTTCATTTCACATGCCAGTCTTCTTTAATTAGAATTTCCTCACCTCTGATTTCTTCTGCTCTTTACATATCCCTTTATTGCTTTTCTCCTTGGCTTGTGTTACGGAGATAGGAGAGATGCCCCTCTTATCTGGTCTAACCAGACACTAACTGATTAGTCAGGTCAATAAAACAGTACATTAAAACCTCTGTAAGATAATTATTTGGGTTTAAATATGTTTTTGCTAAACCTTATGGGTTGAGGCCATTTCTGGGAACTGGATTTGCTGCTTGGAATTTGAAATAATCTTGGATAAATAGTGCTCATAGTGTTTTGTCTGCAGTTTCCAGTTTGTTTCTTTAATGTGGAGAGAGAAAGACATGAAAGACATCAATGAGTCAATCCAAAGGTAGACTACTTTGAGATCTCCACATTTTTTTCCTTTTTTTTTTTACAATTCTCATGCAGATTATCCAAAAATGTATTTATAAATTTGACAATATTGTTTGTAATGTATTCAGTTTAGTTTTCATATAAATAACTTTTCTTACCACCTGTGCCCTGGCAATTAATCAATATTTTAAGTAAGATGTTTTGATGCTGGTTTGAAGCTGTTAAAGGGGACCAAAACCCAAGGAATTAAAAAAAAATAAAGCTCTATAAACTGGAAAAGATGACAATGGATTCTTTCCTACAATCTCTGGAGAGAGCCTGACATGTCCACTCCTTTGATATTGACCAGTGAAACTGATTTCAGATCTCTAAAATTGTTGTTTTAAACCACCAAGTTTATAATTGTTACAGCAGCCATCGGAAATTAATGCACTAATCAATGAAAGTTCAAGTTCATAGATGCCAAAATGTATATGTTATCATTGATCATTCACCAATCATTCTTCATGTCATTCAGGTTTATTGATACTATCTAAATATTATCATTTAAAGATAAGCTTTCTATCTGTACCTTACAATGAAAAACTAATCAGTTGTTTTATCTATCTATACATCTTTTTTGTAAAGATGGGGAAAAGGTTTATTTGGCTTATGTTTCTGCAGGCTGCATAAGCATGGCACCAGCATCTGCTCAGCTTCTGAAGATTTTACTCATGGCAAAAGACAAAGAGGGAGCAGATACATCACACAGAGAGAGAGGGAGCAAGAGAGAAGGGGAAAGTGTCAGATTTTTACATAACCAGCTCTCCTGTAAATTTATTATCATGGGGAGGGCACCAAGTCATTCATGAGGAATCCACCTGCATGACACAAACACCTTCTGCTAGGCCCCAACTTCAACACT